ATATCGTACGAGACATGCAGATATCGCAAGCGCCGCTCGGAACGAAAAAGTTAGCGCCCGCTCGCCGCGCGCGCGTCCTCGAGTTGCCGGACTATTTAATTAATTTCCAGGCGAGTTTTAAAAACGCCATTCTGAAATTTTCACATTTTTTAGTAAATTTTCCGAGGAATCCGATAGTATTTGTAAAAAATAAATTAACTTTTTTTTTACTCCGGGTGTCATGGTCAAAATTAACTTTTAAGATTTAATTTGCAGAAAAAAGTATTTTTTTTTAAAGTTGAGGTTAGGAACATAATTTCATCAAAAACCTGATGTAATAGCGTTTGAAATGAAAAAAAAATTGTTCTACTATAAAAAACGACGTAGATACGACGACTTGAAAATTACCATAAAAGGCAAAACTCAAAATTTAAAATCGCTATTTCTTCGAAAAAAAAATTTTTTTTTTTAAATCCCGATACACTGTGTTCGCTTATTTTATACCTACAATTGGTAAAAAAAGTTTGAAGCGATTTAAAAATGTCGAAAAAAAAAGTGTTCGGTTTGTAAAAGAATGCCTCATATGTATAAATATTCATAAACATACCATACATAATTGTAAATGAAATGTATCCATACGTAAGTGTACATACATCCTTCTTTCTTTTGTAAATTACTTTTTAGTGAAATAGGAATAATAATAACAATAATAATAAAACATAAAAAATATTTAAAAGGATAATTTTCGCCCTAATTCTTTTCGAAAAAATCAAGTTTAGAGAAATGTAAAACAAATGCTCACATATAATTATATATAAAATTATACATAATTGTAAATGAACAATTTTTTTTATATTTCTCCAAATTTGATTTTTTCTACAACAATACCAAAATTATCCCTTTAATTGTTTTCGCATTATTATTATTATTTTTATTACACTAAAAAGTAATTTTACAAAAGAAAGAGAGATGTATGAATGTTAATTTTTTATCAGGTATCATACTTCAAGATATTAGTTACGCCAAGATTGATTATCTGACATAATTCTTTAAACCATTTTGAGGTAACGGGTCCATGAAGTATCATATTCTTTTTTAATGTAATTATAATATAATATGCATATATTGATATAATGTATCTGATACATTTTTCATAGATTCGTTTTTTCATTAATAAAGTTTTTTGTCGTTAAGCTCATTGCAACAGCACAGTTATCAGAGTAAAGCTGGAAACACAATAGACACAGGCAATAGGGAATAACGAGCCGTCCAATCAGAGCTTTGGAGTATAAGTTCGTGTTACGTCTCGAGGGGGCACCGGCCGGCTTCCGGTATCGGCGCTATCCTGAGGCTATGGTGGGATACTACCTCGCGTTTCGAGCAATAAAATTTCCGCGATGAGCCCTCTTGTCCAGCCCACCGATTGGCTACAG